AGCACGTTTAAATTGTTACAGTTTCTGGTCTGAAGACAAAATTCATGAAGTCCAAGAATGGATCATAAGATATATGAAGAAATCCTGTGAACGAAAGAGAATCTAATAATTTTCATAGGTGTCAAGTGCCATACTGTCTATGGAAAGGCAACTGAGGCCGCTCAACCCTGCGGAGAAATTCGCACGAAGTGAGGTCGCAGCGAGAGAAGGGAATCCGTGCGAGCGCCGCCAGAGGAGGCGACCCAGCGACCGAGTCCGGCAGCGACGAAAGGGATCAGTCATGGCCCGTGATGTACTGCCTCCTTCGCCGGGATTTATTGCCCTTTTTCCGGCCGAGGACGGAGGATAATGACGGCGCCCGACCCGCCATAGCGCCGCGTCCAGGGCACGGACGTGAGCTGGAATATTACTCGAGTTGTGGAGGCGTTGACGCTCGAGCCGAGGAGCAGGCGGGGGTGGAGGGGCACGCCAGGCAGGAGAATGTGATGTCGGGTGTGACTCTCACTTCATCTGAAGCCTTTCCGCATTCCACAAGGCATTCCGCAATTTCAAAAATACAGTTTTTCTTCATTCTCATATCGACTCAGAAGAGTATAATATAATATATATATTATATATCCCATTGAGACCCGAGGGAAAACTGCTGGAGGGAATAACACCAAAACGATATCCTATGACCTTTATCCATCATATAACTCATCCAGATACCCAATAATTCATTTCGTGCCATAGGGTGCCCAGGTGGCACTTGTTGCTGTGATGACACCTGGGATTCCTTGAGTTGAAAATCTTCCATTTATGCTTATTTACACTTTTACTAGTAATATTTTCCTTAAAGGATAAATAAATACATCAATATGAAACAAAACATTTTATTTTCAATGATTGCGTACCTGCAATGTACAATTACAGCAATTAAAGAACAATACTTCTGTAAGATAGCAGAAGAACGCATATATAATTTGTAAAAATAAATACATTTTCTTTCTGTAAAATGTAAAGAAAATATTCTATTTTCAGTTACTGTATACCTGCAATTCTTCATTAAGGCAAACAAGAAATTCTTCCATAAAATAGTAGAAAAAATACTTAATTAATTAGAAAAAAATGTATCTTTCCCTGAAAATGTATATAAAAATAGAATCATTGAATTATGAGTAAAAATAGTAAGCCTACTCTTTAGTTCAAGACTAGAATAAATTGCAGCACCTCTATAGGAAAATAAATCTTTTATGAAATTATTCTCTGGTTCAAGACTAAAGAAAAATATCACTTCTATAGAATAATCCTATGCAAAATAATTTTTGATGAGGAACATATGCGCCATACTTAAAAAACAGAAAGCAAATATATCACTTATACATGAAACTCAAGGAAGCAGTTTCTCTTTGCATAGTTGCAGAGAAATACATTACACTGAGAGCACAATGTTCGTGTTCTATTCTTACATCCTTCTCTGCGACATCTGCGGAAAGAGTTCTTACCATCAATGACTATTGGAGATGAGATGCACCTTTCTTTCTTTCAGCCCTGTTTGGCAGAGGAGTCAAGCCCTGTTTAGCTGCCTTTAGAGGAGGCTCAGTCTCTGAATCAATACAGTCTACTGAAGAGAGACTTGCATCAGAAATACTCTGACTGTCAGTGGCATGGTCAAAGAAATCACCTGACATTAACTGGTCTGCCAAGATTAATTTGAAGTCTAGATATTGTTTGGGTTTTGACTCCATATCCTTTCTGTATTCCAGCCAACAGTTGGCAGTTACAACATCAAGTACATGCAATACCACCCTAACAGTCCACTTCTTAGTGCGATTGGGGCTTCTGTAATAGCTGACTATTTGGTCATGAACATCCACACCCCCCATGGCACTGTTGTACTCCCTTACCACACGGGGCCTCTTTACACCAACATGGGTATTGGTAGCCTTAGACCACCGCTGGCATATATCTTCGTCATCAATAGAGAACTCATTGGAAGCCATTAGTACCAACTTTTTGTCATACCAAGCAGTCACAGCCACCTTGTTATCATTTCGGACTTGGCAATCGGATGCCCCTCTGCCCTCTTTGCGCAAGGTTGCCTCAGTCTTTAATTTGCTTAGCCTCTTTAGGTACCATGTTTTTCTTAATTGTGCCTGTTCCTCGAAGGCCTCTGTCATACAGATCACACAATAAGTTTGAGCTTGTAAAAAATCTATCAAAAAAGATACTTGTGCCAGCATCCACACTGCGCACAAACCTTAATACTGCTGCTTCACCAGTTGTGAGGGTTCTGTCAGGTTTAACATTCAGCTTTTCAATAATGGATAGCAATGCTTCTTTAGTTTGAAAAATTTCAAAATCGAGTACCATTCCACTTGGAGAAGCTAGGACAAACATTTTTAACCCGTCTGGGAAAGGTTTGCCAGGGACATGTTGCCTGATACTGATTCTACCTCGAAAAGGAATCATGCTTTCATCAATACTGACCTTCGATGGCCTTGGCAACTCGCTGCAACGAGTTCGTACTGCTTCCAACAAAGGTCTTACTTTCCATAACCTGTCACTTTTTTGTCGTCTTCCAATACAGTGTTATCATTAATAACCTTTAACGAATGTCTGAGACGGAAAAATCTGTCTCTTGCCATTTTATCAGCTATCCAAGGGATCCTAGTTTTTGACTGCCAATACATTCTAATTCTTGGCATCTTTATGATTGACATAGCAAATGTCATTCCTATGAAAGTGGCAATTTCTTTGCTGTTTGTGTTAATACATGCACCTGTAGTTTCAATTGATTTCATATTTGTATACATTGCAATATCTCCCAAAAAATCCTCACTGACATAAGATAGGAAATACTCAATTGGTTTCAGTAAGTTACAAGCTCCTAAATTTTCTGTTGCATTCTGAGGAGCATGGTCTACGAAAGATTTATTTCGTAGGTAAAACAATCTTCTTGGCTCCCCAGCAGTTGAAGATACAGATATCTCCTGGAGATCCTCTTCAGAATCCGAGTCCGAAGAAGTGACAGCTTCTTCAACTCCAATTAGTCTCCCAGATGACGTCACTGCCTCGGGTAGCCAGTCATCATCACTCTCACTGAAGTCACTTTCATCAAGGAGATCCAGAAAAGACCTAGTCTGTGATTTGCCATCTCCTGTATGGGAGTAGTTGCTCCCTGTAACAATATAATAGTGCAGAGATGCTATGAGACAAACGTGATGGCTCTGTTCTGCCTAAGCTGATTAAGATGAAGTTGTAACATTGCCATGTGTTTTGTCTTGGAAATTATTGGAAAATTCTAGCATTAATCAGAATGGCAGAAATATTATCATACTGATACATTATAAAATGCAATGCCCCACCTCTTCTTAAACGTGCAGCATCAGTTTGTCGAGATGTAGATGGGCCTGGTTCACTACTGTAGCTTCTTGATGATGGTGCACCACCTACAAAAGAATTGTATTTAAGATAATTTGCATCACTAGTTAGTTCAAGTTCGTCAAATAAGGTTACCATCACATAAAATTAATAGTATCACAAATTTATTGCAGGTATTTAAAACAATGGAACATGCATGATATCCCACCAGGTGAGGAGGTTGACTCACCAGCCTCTTGAGATGTACTTGTGGGGTCATCACCTGACAACCACCTGCAAAAGTAATAATTTTTTATTAAATGTTATAGTTACCCCTTTCACACATTCCTGTAAGACCCAAGTGTCACAAGGATGATCGGTGTAATCGTAGGTCACATTCAACATCTATTTTTTCCCATTAATAAATAACAAACTTTGACAAAACTGTCGGAAAAATGCCCCAAGACTTTCATTATCATATCAGCATTGGAATTTCCGTCAATAACCAACAAATATCAAAGTATTTAACAAAAATCCAAAAAGAAGAATTTCG